TCTTCTATTTCCTATCATTATAACGAAAATAGTTTCCCCCCTTTTTTTTTTTACTTTACACTCGTCATCTTTTCTGCTAGTCTCGATGTATCGTGCATTTGACACACACATATATACGATGTTGTGAACGCTAAAAAAATCTCAACGGATACTAATCTCTTTTCTTTTCTTTGCTCGTTCTCTCTTTTTTTCTTTGTCTGACAATCAAACAAGAGACGTTCGAAACTGCGGATGAGCAGTATAGTAGTTGCTGCTATTTTTACCAATCGATGAATGATGAGAAAAAAGAGAATTGTATTCTTCGTAACTACAGTCGCACCAACACTAGAACACTAAAATCAACGATGCTCAAAGAATATAATCAGATTACATACGACGAAAAGAGGATGAATGTTCATTCTTGAAGTATAATGAGAGACTTAGACTAGCTAACATTCAGTTTCCTAATAAATGTAGACTACCCTAGTATTAACACATTCTTCCTTTGTGAAAGCCTACGCATATAGTCAGGAAGCAATCTTGGAGCAAACACTTTTTTTTTCAAAATGTAGTTTCCTGCATTGTTGTTTGACGGCTTAGAAGGATGGTCGTGCATCCACGCATCTCAACAATGTGTGCTGATCATAATTAGATTGAGGGCACCATTTATTTATTTTATTTTTTTATATAACATGAACATAAATAGTTCATTACCTGAATAAGACTAACGTAAATAAGAATAGAAAATGTTAGTCGAAGTCAAAATCCGAAAGGAAAGAAACTACTAGATTATTATTAAATATGGAAAAAAAAGAAGTAGCTGAATGAGAAGAAGAAGAAGAAGAAGACGAAGAAGAAAAGAGAGAGAGAGAAACGAGACAGGCAGAGAGCAAGACGATCCGGGCTGTTAATCAACAATCTCATCTTTTTCTTCTTCTCCTTCTTTCTAATCTTATGTTGCTACTGCTACTCGTGCTGCTTTATCCATTGTCAGAACAATTTTCACCCTGACACGCGCACATGCGTCATTGTTCGCACAAGCAAAAGGAATTATCTTTATACGATCACCAATTGACGAACACGAGGCAAACGTGAGAACCGCTTGTTCTAGCAGAACTAATTGATGTATATGTGTTTATCTATGTTTCGGGTTGAAATCTCATCTACATACATTTATTCCCTAAGAAACAACTACAACCAACATGGAGACATTATGTATCCAGATTCGTTTTAATATTTCCTTTTGTTTTTTTATTTAGACATATAACAATTTTTTATATAGCTATTCTGATATTTATAGTCAGAGTTAATCTTTCCTACATAGATACATATTAATATACAATGAAAAGAAAATCGTAGGATAGAATTCTCGATAGAATATCTAACTGTGAAGGTATAAAAGAAGAATAATGGTAGTTTCAAGTAAAGAAAACTAAAAATATCAAGTATACTTATTATTATTGTCACCATACAGTATGTCAGATATAAAAATAGCAAAGTTGTATATTGTCAGCACCATGGATGAAGAACGGAAAATGAAAATTAATCGCGCAACTGTCTGATTGACTGTTACATACGACTAGGATGATGAGTCTTTTTTGGCGTACTAATGCGCACAATCGATAAACTGTTTCAGTGTTCTATATATGGTTGATGATGACGATCGAATTAGCACATGCTGCCAAAGGGCGGGCGAACACAACTCGACAAACAATCAAAATTAACATTTCTACTCAGTAGGATAGATATCTAATGAATGTAGAGGATGAAATGCTTCAACTAGCATATTTTGTTGTCTTAACATATATTTAAATGCAAAACAGATATATCGACATAGATCTAACTCTTACTTAACTAATGACTTCGATGTGATATTCGGCAGATCTGTTTAAAAAAGTGACTATCATACATATAAAAATCAGTCAGTTATACTTACGAAAAATAGAAGAATAAAAAGACAACAATCAATATAAAGTCTCTGTAGGATTGTGAATTTACAAATGTTTCCTAATAGAAAATAATAAATTGTTTCTCTCTTTCCTTTTTTTTTTCTCTTTCGTCTCGTGGTTCTTTTTAGCAGCAACACTAGCAACAACGTGGACGCAAGTATTATTAAGAATATTGTTTGTTATTGTCGTCTTGGTTGTTATCGTACAGCAAGAGGGAAAAAAGTCATTGGCACTAATGTCTATTCATTGACGTTGGCAATGCATGCAATAATAGTACAAAGAACGAGAGAAACTACAGAAAATAGACTCGTCGTTAGTGCTGCTAATATGTTGCTGCTCGAGAGTAACGCGGGATTTCCTCTATTGCATTTGCACTGGCATACTGTTACAGAAACAATCATCCGACAGCCGAAAGCGAAGAATGTTCGTCAAACAAAAGAAAAAACTAGCATCACGCAGGTTTTCGTGACGTATTCTCCATTTTCTTCTGCGTCTTCTATCATCATTCTCAATGTACTGTCGTTCCGTTCTACTGCAACATCAACAACAGATCATCTAGATGTCTATGCATATATATATATATATTAGTTTGAAGAGTCTTTTGTCGGTTGAGTGGACGAGTTGGATGACAATTAGACAGGACGACATGTTCATCCTTCTCTTTTCCATCTATCAATCTATTTCTCGCTTACAATATTGAAATAATGCAGTAACTAAAACAAACACGCTCTGTTACTGAGTGGTTTATAAAGAGAAAATACTCTAAATAGAAGACCTATTTCCTAATGTAAAATATCTCATCTCAAGCGTACTTATCCATGTACCTATATACACAAACACTTAAAAATGCAAAGAAAACGGCATGTAGAAAAATGAATGAAGCATATAATCGAAGATATCCGAATCATTTGTGAATGTCAACATATATAAGGAAATTTATCTAAGACATAATGAGCATTTCTCTTGAGATGACTGATTTATTAGACTAGATTGAGAGTTACGGCTTTTGAGATTCATTTGAAAGGTCTTGATATGTATTTAATTGATCGAGTCAATCGAGGGTGGCAATTCTCAAGTGAATATATATGTTGTGTCATTTATCATCACAGAAAGGCAACGATTAAAAGCAATGAGTAAAAGAACAAACGACATTCCATCAATCATTGGAAAATGGGACAAGAAACTCATTTGACCTTGTTAAGCTTAAAGCTAAAAGCGACATCAACATCAGAACGAGAAAAACGGAACATAATTGTTTACTGTCGAATGATTTCAACTCTTCTATGTCTCTCTCCCTCTCTATTTGTCATTCAAAAATAGAATCTATGTAAAGGTTAATAAATAACGATGGATTATCTAATTGGCATGACGGCACTCTATATTCAGACATTTTACCACTCTACTTGGACTAAGACAACAGATGATATCATGCAAACGAATGTATAAACTACTAATACCAACAAAACATGGATATGCTCTTTCTTACGTTATTTAGTATATATATACATGGAGAAAGACAAGATGAAAAGATTATTTTATCTCTTCATCATTAACTTATTTCCGCACTATAGACCAAAAATACATCGGATGTTTTCATTCTTCTTTTTTTTTAAAAAATGAATTTATTAATGCAAATCTATTTTGATCTACTGTGATGTTTAAGAAAAGAATGACTAACCATTTTGTTTTTTATAAAGATACTTGAGAAATCAAGCGAAAAAATAATTCAATTTAATAAATAGAAGTTAATTTAGTTGTCAAAGAACAAAACGATTAAATCAACCATTTCTAATCTTTATTAGTTGCCTAATACTAAAAGTATTTTATGAAAAACAAAAAAAATCTTTCGATTATGATAAAATATTTTATTTTTCATTTCCTAACTAAGTTATGAAAAAAAAGTCTATCAAATAATTAAAATAATTAGAATCTTGATCTATAAAAACAAGTCTAATAAAATATTTCATCTTTTCGATAATAAAATAGTATTGTCAAATGTTATTATCATTTTCAATAATCATCTGTCTATTATGATACTCACTTGTCGAGAATGTCGTGATGATCAATTAAAAATAGAAGAATATTAGAATGCAGGTGAATAATGCACCCTTCGTTTCGATTTGTTTAAGTTGATGTTGTACTTCTCTCTTTTTCTTCTCTTTCAATAATGTTGTAACATTACAATGAGCTCACATACAGAGAACTTCAACCTACTGTGTTGCTGCTGTGTTTCAATTATTAGGCACGCCGACTGTGTAAGAATGAATGCGAAGGTGTGCATACGTATGCATCTAATTAGCTTTCCAGATGCTTCCTATAGACTATTTTAAGACGACAAAGAATTCTATAAAACCCATAAACCTTAATGTATTATTGTCTGGAATATATATATATATATACATATATATATCTATATACGCAAAAGCAAGAACCCTCGATTAGAATAAAAAGAGCAATGTTGCTAGAATTGACTTTTTTTGTCCCTCTCGTTTACTTAACTCATGAGGAAGGTCAAAACGATCGTTATCAATCAGTTGTTGATATTATTATCATCATCATCATTTCTGATCAATGTATATATTTATATATTTATATTTATATATTCTGAAATAGAGACGACATATACATACACTGTTGGAACATCAATAATCAAACAATAATATTGATAAATAATAATTCTCATCTAAAAAATAAACATCCTAGAATTTTGTTAATCTTTTGAAAATAAGTTCTATACGTTTGTCAAAAGAAGATGAATAATTTTATGTATGAGTGTAGTGTATAACGCAAATGTCAAGTTATCAATTACATTAGATTTGATTTGTATTTTATCGTTCTTAATAACAACATGAAATAAAAAAAATGAGAGCATGTAGATATAGATATTCCATCTCGTGAGATTATTAATGGTAAAAGAGTTATGATAATAATTCAATCATCAAAATTCGATCGATCTTTTTTTCTTAATCTATACACATTTAATATCAAAGAAAAAGGTTGATAAGGAATTACAAAATTACACAAAACAAAAAAAACATATTAGACAATTATGATTTGTTTGATTGACATTTATTAAAAATCTTGAAATTCTTTTTCAAATAAACATATTGACGATTTTGGAATAATAAAATCTTTTTTTTCTTCAAAATATTCAAATTCATAACCTTTAATTAATTGTGGTCGAAATTCCGAATGAACTTTTTTCTCATATAATGATAACCAATTGACTTTTTGAAAATAAATATGATTTTTTATATCTTGTGCACCATTAACTAAACAACCATAACGTTTTGTTGTATCAATTTGAAGTAATTGACGTATTAATGATTTAAGATCTTCTTTAAAATGCTTTGGAAATTTATATTCTAATGAAAAAAAAAAACAAAGTAGATAAAAGAAAATTTTGTTTTGTTTTTTGTTATACCACAACGTAAAATTAATGAATAAAGAGCAGCATGATCTGGAGCATAGAATGGTGAAAAACCAGCATTTAATTCATAAAGAAATATACCTAAGCACCACCAATCAACACCTTTACCTAAATAATTAATAAGAAAATTAAACATGATCATAAAAAATTCATAGATAAACATATCTTACCATAACCTTTATTAGATAAAATTTCGGGAGCTAAATATTGTGCTGTACCACAAAGTGTATATGTTCGTCCTGGAACTATTTTAGCAAAACCAAAATCAGTTAATTTTATAAAACCATCATAAGTAATTAAGCAATTTTCTGAATAAACATATTAGACATAGAGAAATTTTAGAGTTATACAAAAAAATAATACTAACCAGGTTTCAAATCTCTATGACTGAAAAGAAAAAGAATATTTATGAGTTATGATTGAGTCTTTTTTTATTTTTGTTCTAACCAAATATCAAGATATTGTAAATATTCAAAAGCAAGTGTTATTTGTGCAGCATAAAAACGTGCAACACTTTCAGAAAACCGTTTGTTCTTTTGTTTTCGCATATGATGAAACATCTAAATAAAATTCAAGTTTATTATTTTCTGAAAATTTCATTGCCAAAAACTTGTTGAATTTTACTTCTGAAAGAAAACAGAACAAGCAATTTGTCTTAAGTTTGTCGGATTTATTTTTCTATTATGTAAAAAATATCGGATGTTCCAGAAAAAAATGCATCTCTCAATGTTTCGATTGTGTTTCTTTTAATTTTCTATCAAACGATATGTTTCTTTTTGTGAATCTATAAAACTGTTCATTATTCTCCAGAACAAGCTTCAAACGAACAGTTTGAGATATAACATAACTTTTTGTCGAATTAATGATTTCATATTATAGCTCTTCAACAAAAATATCTTTCGTTGTTATTGTTTCCAATTCAACACGATAACAAAAATCATCTCAAATTGTATGACTCAATGAATTTAAATGTAAACTATTCAGTAGTCAATATTTCTTGTTAATGAAAAAAAAGAAAAAATTATTTCTAACATCATTATTATGTTAATTGAGAGATATAATGTTTCATATTGTTCTGATGAGATCTTCAATCTGACACTGATGATCATTTTCTATCACGGAACATTATATCAAATTCAATTAGTACATTATGTCATTCAAGTACTAATGAAATATGGATATGAAACCTTCGAAATAGATTGAAGATTTCGACAAGACAATGCAAAATCTTATGTCACTCAATAAATACAACAAAGTAATGCCAGAACAACGTTGCCTCTGTTCATTAACGAGAAACACTGACCATTGAATAATTCACATGAAAATTCATTGAACTATTCGATATGAAATGATTTTGATTATTTATTGAACGAGAAGAAATTCCAATGAAAGATATTCGTATTGAACAACCTAAATATGAAATCATAAATATTTGACAAAAAATTGTTTTATATATTGGACTGTTCTTTTGAAGCTTGTTTTGGAAAAAAATTGATGTTATTTAGACTTACAAAAAGTAAGCATATCTTTTTGTATAGAATTGACAGACGAGTTTTGTGGAAGAAAAAGTCCGAACAAACGAATATTAGAAGAGATATAATTGAAATATTTCCAGGCCCATTTTCTCTGGAACAATCAATATTACTATGCTTTATAACTTTTTGAAGATCAATTCTGAAAAGATGTATTTAGTGTTTTATCGAGCATGACAACACAACCTATTCGAAGATCAGGTTGACCCTTCTGGAGTTTGTGGTTATTATATCGCATACTATGCGTCTGTACTCCCAAAAATAAACTCTCACCCGTTTGAAAGAGAAAATCTGGATAAATCACTGAATGTATCAAAATCTAAGAAATATGATTGTATATAAAAGAATACTTTTACTGCTCAGGAATCAATAGTTGCTATAATTTTGATTGATTAAGACAAGCCAGAAATTGTATTTTTTTCCAGTCAAAATAGCTTTGTTCATATTGACTAATAAATTACACAAGTACTGACAATAGTTCAATATTATATTAGTTGCGTCCAACCTACATTGAATACACAGCTTCAACATTATGATGAAGTAGTCTTTTGAGTAGGATTATATCTCACAAATTGGATAAAAGTAGTAATAGTTTCAAACATGAACTACATCGAACATGTTTCGCAAGTTCAAATATATGCAATTATTCGCTTCAGAGACTAACGAGAGTGTTTAGCATCCTTGATCATGCTTTGATACGTCTCTATCTTATTTGTTTTTACCAAAAAAAAAATTTTCAAAGATTAGTTTACTTCTTCGATCATCTTGCAGCACTTCTCAAACGTTGTAATGACAAAGTACATGCTCTACAAAATTCTGTGAGATGTTAGCAGAAGTGTGAGTAGTATCCAGGGACAACTCTGTCCGTCTCTAGTTCTTTCTCACACGTCAGCGACAATTTTCTAATGAAACAACCTATAAGAAGTGCATAGGAAACAGATTATTCTTTCCACTAAAAGAATATTTTCTTTTTTATTCAACCATTCATATGAAAAATGTTTTGCTTTCAATAACATTGAAATAATTTTTTGCTTGACTCAAAAAAAAAAATATTCTTCTATAAAAAATATTTGACTTGATTAACAACATCTTTATATTCTGAAAGAAATATTCAAGTAGTTATGCTATATATATATGTATATATGTATCAAAGCTTTGAGAAAAAAACAAAAAAAAAATAGATAAAAACCTCTCCACCACCAATAAATTCTAAGCATAGATATAGATTTGCATTATCTTTAAATTTATATAATAAATTGACAATAAATGGACATTTTATTGCTCCTAAAAGATGACATTCATTGATAACATGACGGATCTGTTTTAATTTAACAATATGTTGTTTTTCAAGAATCTTCATAGCTATTCGTTTTTTTTCATGCAGAGCAAGGACAACTGTACCAAAGCTACCACCACCAATACGTCGTTGAATAATAAAATCATTTAAAATAGCATTATCAATTTGTCTATGATTATATTTATCAATAAAATGATTTTTTTCATTTAAAAAATGGTTTTTTAATATCATATAAGATTTTATCATCTGTGATCGATCATATGCTATTGTTGATTTAAAACTTGTATAACTCATTGGTGTCATTAAACTAGATGAATTTGGTGATGATGTCAAATATGTGGTTGATAAAATCTGTCGTGAAGATTCACCTTTAAATTAAATTAAATTAAATTAAATTAAATTAGAATTATTTTAAAGTTATTTTATTGTTAACTTTTTTTTCTCTATTAACTAACCAGATATTAGTGAATCTATCATACGTCCAAACAACATTGATCTATCAGAAATAAATAAAATATTAAAGCAAGCGCCTTTTTTTTCTATATATAATTATCTGTGTAGTTATTATTATTATTATTATTATTATTATTATTACTATCTATTCCGATGTAAACGTATATGTGTACTTGCAATAGTGGTGTAACCAAGAGTGAGTTAGGCCGAGCAATGACCTGTCACTGATAGTCATCGCTCGACTACCAGAAGAAAGAAAAACATAATAATTACTATCATTGACGCTCTATCTCACGGATTTCCCTCCAAGATTGTAGAACGCTGCTCTATCATTCACAATCTTCTGGTCACGCCATTAAGTTGTAAGTTTTCAATAAAAAACATCTTTGTATTCCAAGAGACATTTTGTTTTATTTAATCAAAAACAGAACGCGTTATAACTAGGATCAATAAAGCAAATTATTTTTCTTTTTTTCTTCTTCCCATAACTAATGCTAATGTAGTAATTATCAAAAAAATGATAATCAATATGAAATTGAGTATATCTTTTCAGCTTGATTAGTCAATTGAATTATTGTCGAATACTTTTCTTCTTGATAGAGAGGAAAAAGGTTGGTTCAAGCCAAATGAGATTTGACTAAAAGACTAATCATGTTTCCGACAGTTTATGTATAAGAGGGATACTAAGGCACTCTTAATTGGGCATTCCTCTCTTTTTTCCTTCCTCTACGGGAGATTTTTTTTATATGGTTAAATCCTTTTGCTTATGCACATACCATATTGAGCTTCTTGACTCGGAACTGAGCCGAATTAAATACAATAACAAGCGAACAAACAAGTGAGAAAATGTTAGAAAAAAAAATGGACGACGAGAGAAATGCACTGACTGATGCTAATGGAATAGCGGAAGAGAGGAAGAGCGAGAAGATGAGAAGAAACTGAGAGCAAACGAAATGAAATCAAATCGTATGCATTAACAAATGATTTTTGCTTCATCATTGTCTTTGTTACCATTATTTACTGTTTGTATTTGAAACAAACAATCGTAAATTTCTTATATATATATTATTATTATTTTATATATGTAACCAATATAAATAAATATTGAAAGAGTGCCCGATCAATTTCCGGACGAATAATTTAGAATAGATTGTAGTTTATGTTTTTTTTTTATATTCCATTATTCTAGATTACAGTTAGAAATGAAAAGGTTGTCAAGTCTATTTACATTTGCCACTTTAATGGTGATACTCATATTCAAAAGTGCATATACAGGTAAGATGATTTTGACAGTTTCTTTTTTTCAAGTACAATCTTATACGAGTATATGAATTAGATGCAACTGTATTATTTGATGATAAATCATCAATGGTTGAGAATAGTGCAAGTGATGAAAATGATGTATCATTACGAAACAAAAAGGAAACAGGTTTAATAACAGCACAACATATCATTCCGTCACCCCTTCGGCGTCATCATCTGAAATTTGGTGTCCTTGGAAAACGTTATTCTTATGGTTATTTGGGTAAACGAAATGACGGTAAGGACAAAAACCAATGAATTTATATTTCATGAATATATTCGTTATTTTTGTTTTTTTTTTTTACTTTTATTCTCTAGCATCAAATATGGACGATAATTTTCAAGAATGGTTAAATAATATGAGACAACGACGTGCTGGTCGGCCGCAATATGGATTATTAGGTTAAAACGTTTGTTGTACACTGTCAACATTGTACAAATATTTTGAAATAAACAACATTCATTTGATTAATTGTAGTCTCTTTATCATGATTGATCAATATAAAAAAAAAACCAATAATATCAGTTCATGTTTTTTTATCGTGTTGTTTTTGATTGATAATAGAGTAAAATGATGGCATATGACACATTTCTATGCATAAGATTTTCTTCTTCTTTTCGATAGAATATAACGTAATAATTATTGAGTTGATAAACATATGGTGATGAATATTAGCAATTAACATTCGTTTCTATTTGATTTAAATTATTTTAATATAAAAAAAAACACGTTTAATAACATTTTTAAAAATTCATTGTTTTATTACTGAAATGCCAAAAGAAAAAAAAAGTTTTGATCGATTTCTTCTTCATGTATGACAGTAAAACTTATCAAGATTATCAACTATGTGTCTTTCATTTTAAGGCAATCTGCCTACTATTTATGCAGTTTCTCAGGAACGACCCAACAAAAAATGATGAAGCTTTCAAGGCAGATAGATCTCGATAAGTAGAGCAAAAGTTGTCATAGACTCAAAATACCCAAAACTCAATACCTCATTTTTTTGACCTAAAATTTTTTCATGACAACTAGAGTCAAATCGTGGTACATATTCTATTTTTCTTTCAAAAATATAATTCCTAGAGCTAAGAAGTAGCAAAAAACTGGAAGCATCGACAAAAAAAAAACGTGTTATTTTTTCAATGATACTAATTTTTAAAAGGTTCCTGAATTTCATCGGAACAACATTCTTAAGAATGAACAATAATACCACTGTAATTTCACCAAAGTACTCATTAAAAAAATGAGGCCCAATTGGATGCTCTATGTAAGAAAAAGGGGGAGAAACTTTTTGTTTTTTTTTCCAAGAAAGTCATTGTTTGAAAAAAAACAACACAAACTTTCCTATATGTATCAGTATTTTTTTCTCCAACTAAAGTGATTGAATATGGGCGGTGCTCAGCGATGTTAGAGTTCCATGACTCCTGTTCTCAGAATCTTTGAAAACATCCATTACGAGAATTTTGCATAGAAAAAATAATCGCACCGAGAGTTGGGTATAATAAAAATATAGCATTACACAGAAAACACTTCGAAGAGAAGAGAAAAATCGAAAAAATTTTGATTCAACCATCTAAACAAGGACGAAGTTCTTTTTAAGTGTAATTGAGATCGTAGTGAATACACGACGTTTCTAGTACGTTAGTTTATTAAATCATATTATCAATAACAAATAAGTTAATACGAAAAACTTGGAAGAAAATATCAAAACTGAATTACCTTCAATACGAGAGTGAATGATCCAGATCTATTTAAATAAAAAAAAATTTATTGTTGAAAAGTATTGCTTTTAATTTTAATTAATCTATTGAAAAGAACCATAAAATACCAAACAAAATTTCTCTAATACCTAATCGACAGACTTTTTAAACTTTAATAAACAGATATGTATGAATATTTAGTTTAATTTTACAATTAATTCTTCATTAAATTTCTATTATGTTTGACTTTGTAATCTTGTGGAAATCGTTCTAAACATTTGATAAATTTCACTGATTAAATATTTTATTTAAACAACGTTAAATCTTATTTTTCATAATATAGATCACAAAAGCAAAAAAAAAAACAATAACATTTATATATCTTATCGATGATAATTGAATAATTAATGTTTTGTATTGCCATATAACTAAAAAAACAATAAGCAGACATTATTTAGAATTTATATTATTAGTATTATTTACTTTATCAATAGCAATTGCAAGTTTATCGATTTTGTTTGAAAATTCAGTAATGGGATTTTTATTCTTTTCTATTTCTCGCCTTCGTGCAGTCAAATCTAATAAACAAAAGATTTTACTTATTCTTCTTGAAAATATCATGAACTACTTAGCCATTGTTTTATTTTGTCATAGTAATTTGAATTAATTCAATTTCATTTTTACAATTTAATTGTTCTCGACGTATTAAATTAAAATTATCAACAATAATTGATATAAACATATTACTTAATAGAAATACTGCCACGAGAATAAATAACAGTAACCATAAACCAGCTAAAAGTGGATCAACTTCTTTCAAATCAGATACTGTTGGCATATATCGTGAAACCATTTCAAAACATGCTAAACTTGTATCTAACCATTTGAATATTGTTCTAGATAAGGATGAAATAATAGATAAAATAATGCATTAAAAGCACAAAATACAAATGAAAACATTGCAAAAAAATCTATGATTTGTTCGATTGATTTTTTATTGTTAAATGTAATAATGACAAACAACGATTAAAACGAAGCAGACGAAGTTTAGAAAGATATACTCAATAGAAATATATGAATTTATAAAACGAGAATTTATTAAAAAAAAGGAACAATGCTGTCAATAAAAAAAGTCTAGATTCAATAAAGATTATATTGAATAAAAACAAACATTTATCCACATTGATTCGATAAAATTGAAGCATCACAGTTATCTTGTTCTCATAACTTTCAATACAAATAGTCAAAGGATATCTTTCTTTTTTTACAGTGTATATGGAAATATTTTTTCACAAATGGATATATTTTCGAACCTTTGTTTTAAGCTGTGACTTGTTTATCCTTATTATAAGTATGCATATCAAAGAATGGCTATCATTATGCATTTCAAACAACATAAGGAAGAAAGAAAACGAGTTGACTACAGATTTATATGAAACCAAGGCAGAGGCTGCTTGTGTACTCGTAACAAGCAAACTTAATAAAACATAATCTCACTCCACTATAGTCATGTCATAAAAAGAAAATTCATGACAACTACTTCGTATCATTTAAGCTGTATGCTTGAAATCAATTATTTTCTATTACATTGTAATATACATCGGAGCTTGAAATCAGCTGTCATATCTGAATTCTATTTCTTTTTTCCAAGGAAGATTTCTCACATGGAAAAACAGAAAAAAATCTGCTTTTAATCGGTCAAAAAAGACTTAAATTAATTGATATTTACGATTTTATTCGAGTTCTTCCGCAAAATTTCTTAGAAAGGCTTTATATCTTGCAACTAGTAACAATCACAAATCTTTATTATGCGAAAATTTCGGAAGTTTCATTTAGAAAATAAATAAAAGCAGAGCATTTATTCGGTTCAATGACATTTCTCATTCACACACAAAGCCGAGTGCATTATCAAGTGCACTAAGTAACATAGATGTTACTGATGTGAATGTGTTAACTGTGTACTAAAGACAGTAACCAATCTGACTCTTTCAAAATTGATCAGCGAGCAATTTACTCATGAATGCTTATGTTAATAAATAATAGTCTTTAAGAAATTGAAATACGTACGAATACATCTTGATTTTTCGGTTCAATAAGTAATTCGACTTATCTATCATGCTGTTTTTTCAAGCATAAAAATTATTCAAACTTATTCAACTTGTGATCACTATGATAATAAACTTTTTGTGATGTTCTAATAAATGACTGCAGTGATCGTGGAATACCATTGTATAGAAACTATTTCTTTCTAAATGGAATATACTTTTAATAGTACCATTCTAAGTTGGGCTGAGCCAGGCAAGCATAAGAAACTCCTTGGCACGGACTATGAAAAAGTGATCCGATTTAGAGGTCTGATGTACACCGAACAGCTAGTATTTATATATTAGAATTTCAAGCAACAATAATTATCAACAAAATGTTATCGATTAGAAATATTTCAAGAGAAGTATTTGTTTGTCTCTAATTCTAATTAATAATTTTACGTTTTACTTACATCTTAACAGTACCAAAAAAACATCAGAAACCAAGTTGATAAGTTAAAATACTATCAAGATATGAGAAAAATTGCAAATTAATTGGCCTTAATCATCTTGTTGTTTTCAATAGATTTCCCATTTTTTTCATTTCTGTTTATCGAAAAATATGTATTACAACACCAATCCATAAACATACAATGATAGCTCGATTAACATATGACCAAAATTGTTTTATATAAGCTCTACGCTTTAAAAAAAAATTTAATTTCACTAATGATATAATAAATAATTAAAATAAGATAAATAATACAATAAATAAGATCTTTTCCTGTATATAATTGAACAAGTTTAAATGGTTGAAATAATGGTCAAAAAATAAGATTCGTTGTTGCTGATAATTGTTCAAGAAGTAATGAAAAATAAACAAATAAATTAGCATTAGAATTATATAGATCAAATGTTAAAAAAGTAGCGCGAGTATGTCGATCAATCCAGCGATGATTTTGAAGATATCGAAATCCTGTTATAATTTGTTCAGTTGTTATTCCTTGAATTTCATGTACATAACCACCAGCCATATACGTTGTATGTGATGTTGCATAAATTAATGTATCATCTTGAACTAATGTATATTTTAAACCTTGAATAAGTTTTGGTGAATCATTCATACTAATGTTAAATCCAAATGAATTCTTCGCTTCATTATACACCAAGTATAAGGTAGATTACAATTATCGATTGCCATATGACCATCAAGAGCGTTTCTTGCACATGATTCTAAAATAATTTTATTTTCATAGTATTACATATACATCAAAGCAATCAGAAATGGAGAAGATGCATAAAAAAGTATATTCGTACTAAATATGAGGATTATAATGATATATCTATCTCATGAATCTAAGCTAAATAAAGAGATATTTGACTTTTAGTATCTCATCAATCTTGAAGCACATTCAATAGAATATATCACGTCTCTTGTACGAATAGAACATATCTCTATCTTATCTTTAGAGAAGATAAATTTATTCATCTGTTCGAAACATATCTAAACTTATCTTCTTTCGACTCAGTTTAAACATTCAATAATTAATTTCAGTAGTTCTCAATTCAAATTAAAGAACGACTTCATGATATTCTCTGTTCTTATTCATCCGCCTATATCCAATCTTTTGTTTCCTTGCCAAAAAAAAAACACAAACACAATAATTAAGTAATCGAGTGATATTTAAATAACTATTCACTTCGAGATATGGATAATCAGTAAGTAACTGAATCTATATTAAAGTGAAGTACATCATTACAAAACTCTCTTACACATCTGTACTTGCTGTGATACAGGGTAAAAGAAAATGTAGAATAATAAACCTTCACTATCCATTTAGTACTATTGCATAAATCTCTGTTAGATTTATAAGTGTAATCTATCCTTTCATAGACCTTGATAAGGGTTTGCGATCCACTTCAAACTCATATGTCCTTGTACTGTTTTCTGTATTCATAAACTGTTTTTTTTTTGGATATATGAACGGAATAAACCCTTACGCGAAGGGTTTATTATGACACGTTGTGAGCAGAACCGTAGAATAATAAACACTTTATCTAAGAGTTTATTCCATTTGGATGCCCAAAAAGAGGCTATGAAAACAGAAAACAGTACAAGAGTATATAAATTTATAATGAATCATAAACCCTTGGTAAGATTTATACATAGAAAGGGTTTATGGAAGGATAATAAAGGGATACTAAGGTTTAGTTATTGTACACTTTTTTTTTACAGTGTAGCACTGAGTATTTACCATTTTTAACGCGTATCTGCCGTAGTGTAGGCCGGCCAATAATTCTATTTGTTTGAGTATTTCGTAATAAACGTGTATTATTTGTAGCACAATCACTCCAACGTGTTTCTAGATATTTATTGATAAAAATATTTTCTAACCAATATCAAGAATCTTTAATCGAATCAATATTTTCAAAAACATAGCTATGTTTCTTTTATCCAGATCTATATTTTTCTGGATAATGATAATCAATTTTGAAAAATTCTCGTCGTAAATACTTCATCATTTGATGTTCATTTTCAGCATCATGATTAGCAAAACTAATTGCGTAAAGAATACCAAGAAATAATAAAAGAAAAAATAATTCACATAAAATTAACCATGATTTAACTTCTTTCAAACGAATTTACGTAATTTTTTTAATGCTGCTCTTTCACGTTTTGCACGATGAAGATCACGATGAGTTTTAGCTAAAAGAGATTTTGACTAAAAGTAAAGAACAAAAACTTTGATGACAGAAAGAGGGAAAAAACAGTTATAACCAGAAATTTTCGATCTGAATCTTCAATTGAAACAGTAAATTCTTCAACTGAATCTTCTTGTTTAATAAAAGCTTCAACTGGAGATTTTTTTCGGCAAAAACATATAAATAATAATGCTAATGCAAGTACTTTAAATGGTTGAGTAAGAAGTACAGCAGCATAAAAACTTGCAAGAATTAAACCAAGCCATCGATGTATTTTTGAATCATCATATTGAATACTTCATACAATGATAAAAAATACTGAAGTACTAACTGTTAAAAATGAAAGAATATAAGCAAGTATTAAATACCACCATGGAAAAAAAGAATTTTTTTTCTTTTGATTCAATTGAATGTGATTTAGTATTTGTTTCTGATTTATTTGCTCGTATATTTTGAATTGCTTCATCAACAGGAGATATTGTTCGAGGACGACGTGGTTTTGATTGACGAAATAGAGCAACAAGAAGTAAACTCGGAACGAATGTCATGAATTCAATAATAATGTCAATACTAATCTAAAGTTTAAAAACAAATATATTTTTTCTTTTAGAAAATATATTCTTTTTCGAAATAAACTTTTTCAGAAGAGAATATTTCTATTATCAATACTATTCAGACCAGTCAATTTTTTAATACATAAGTATAGCAATCAATTGAATCTATGCAAACAAATGTTATAGATAATGAAATCTTCAGTATAAACAGTAAACTTGAATTCGTACTTCAAAGCTATTTCGGAAGTAGTGTGTTTTAGTTACTTATTGAGATATTTTCATTTTAAAATTGACTTAGTCTTATTACTCAGTACAGAATGTCCTATATTCAAAGATTTGAATATTTTGCATAAGAATCTCAGTTTGTTTAACTGATGACACATTCACAAGATGACTTAGAACAACTGGAAGTATGCATACTTTAGAAAAAGATTCACAGTACAAATTAGAAAAGTTAATTTGACGAATGAATGTCTTTTTTACTTTCATTTATATCAAAAAACAAGAAAACAAATTTGTGCTCCTGTACTATGCGTCTGTTTGTTTCTCTTATACGAACATATGAAAAAAGCAGATAGAAAAGTCGGTATTACCAATTATAGTCGAAATTCATAGCATTTCTGCTTATTTAGTATTCTATCAAGAATTTGTTAATTAATTAAGCTTTTATTATGTTTCGAATTTTCATCACTGAAGTAAACTTGATTGTTTTCAGAAAATTTTGACAATGAAATAGAGGGGAAAAAAGTTACTGCCTCTTCTTTAGAAAGATGAAATGGTCCAATTGTTACAGCATATTGATCATTTTCATTCGTATTTACTTCTTGTTTTGTATCATCGTAAAGACTACTTATAAGAAAATTCATAAAAAAGTAGTACAAAACAACATGTATATCGTTGTATACGAGTAAAACGATTAGCTGAAGGTAAATGATAAGCAAAAATTGAAAACCATAAATGATTATCAGCCATTGATCGATAAGCATTTTTAGAGAGAACATGTTTTAATTCTATTTTTTCTAGTTTATCTGCTGCATTTATTGTCCCATCAATCTATAATAATAAACATAATTTTAGTTAAGCAGGGAAACACCATCCTTTTGAAGATTGGGTTCGTCTCTCAGAGTTCGTAATTATTGTAGCACATACTACTATGTGTCTGTACTCCCAAGAAAACAAGGTGTTTCTTCTTCTCTTCTGATAGATCAAATCTGGGTAAAACATGACTACAAATACATTGATTTCTTACTTCGACAGAATCTTTTTCAACTGCTAACCATCTTTCACAAATAAAATAACTTATTCCATTGTTTGTAAATCTCGTACTAATATATATTTAAGAAACCATGATGCATCCGAACCTGAACCCGAATTATCATGCCAAATAAGAAGATAATTAAGTTGATCAAGGGATCTATATAGAAAAGAAAGAAAAGATTTCTTTCATTAACAGACAAAAAAAAATCTTTATTATCAAGTCTTTCAATAGCCATAATGAACGAATCAACATTTTCACGATCAAGTATTCTTCTATTACCAGTTAATTTTTGTACATTAGTTTCGTCTTCACTTCCAGAAAGAACAAAATGAACTTTATAATTTAAAGGTAAATCTTCATTTTACTTTATTTCTTTTCTTTTCTTACTTTTGATTTTGTACCAGCATTTGCTCTCATTCTTGTAAATACTACTAACTGATAAAGATATTTATCATGTCGGTTATTATCACTAAGTGGTATTGCCATCAGCTAAACAAAAAAACAGAATATTTCAAAATAAAAGCAGACAAAATATTTCTTTTTTGTTCACTATTTTTGCATCCATACCATCCTTATAATATGAAAACTCCGTTGTTACAAAGTAAATTAATACAATAATAATTAACGTAATATAAATAGTTAGATTTTGTGTAAAGTCAAAGTCTAATAAATTCCAACGAACAGGCGCAGGAAGTACAAGAAAACCTGCAGCAAATGTTGAGTAAAACTTTCATTTGTTTTCGATCCAACTTAATTTAAATTACAAATGGTTTATCTTGTTTTTTTGTTTATACTTAAAGTGTCGGTAATTCGAAATTTGTGCACGACCTTTTCTTGTAATTTTTGAATAGAGCTCGTCGAATTATCTGTAGAAATGTTGTTTTTGACATATTCAAGTGATGTTTTAGTAGTGAAACTTAGGTTTAAAAATAATCAGCAAAGCCTATAAAAAATTAAATACGCCAAAAGCGTCAAGACTCGAAGTATTTCTTTTTCATTTTACTCGTCATACAGCTAGGAAAAAATGATGTATGATTTTTGAAAAATATTGCTTGATTGTTGAAACAATCGATTTTTTTTCGATATGATAGCAAAAACAATATAAATACGAGTTTGTATTCTAAGGTTTTTCACGATCAGAATTTCAATTCCAAAAGAAACGATCATCATATTCAGAATCAGCATGAAAATCTGCATCGAATAACATATTCAATGTTGAAAGCTAATTTTCGTCTAATTTCGACCTTAGCGGAAGCATAGGTCAGAATATCTAAAAATACCAATGAGGAGATGTAGAAACCAAAATTTTGAATATATCATTCGATGCAGATTTTTGCACTGATTCTAAATGTGATATTCGTTTGATCCAGAGTAGAAATTCTGATGGTGAAAACCTTAAAACACTACTAGTAAAGGATGTCCTGTAATAATTGAAGATAAATTGTCAAGAACATTTTTCATACATTTTCTTATCGTAGAAAGCTAAAATTTTTATCCCATATATATTTAACCAAGATCTTGAATATTCTAAAGTTTCAACTCTCTAACTAAAATTAGTGCTGAAATACATGAGTTTTTGTACTTGATTTTTATGTCATCTTTGTTTATTGACAATTGATATTTATGAACATCTGATGGAAAGAAACTATAAAAGACACCTTTTCTCAAACACGTAAATTATAATAAAATTCAGCGTGTATGAACATGTCGTCCATTGATTTCTATGAAAAATTTTTAATTGATAAAATATTTTTTAAAATTTTTCTTTTGAAAATTTCCTTCATTCTTGTGAATTTTCTTTTTTTAATTGTAATGGTGTATGACACATGTTTTCGCGAATTTTTTCATCCATTATGCCTCACATATTTTCATGTCTTCATTCATCAGCAAGTTTAACATTCCTATCTATTGATTGTATACGTTCATTAAATAATTGTATTATATAACTGTACGAACAATACTCCATGTTATATTGAGACAAGCTTTTCTGTGTATTTAAAAGACTTTATACATGAATGCATTCTTTTATAGTTAAAACAATCTTTAGACAATCTGTCACGATTGACTACACAGTAAAAATATAACAAAAATTTTCTAATAATACAAAAATTCATTTTTACATTAATCTTGTCCATGCAGTTCAGTACTAGTTTAAGGCGCAGAGTTGAAACTTTCGGCCAAAATTCAAGATCTTGGTTAGATACATGCATATCATAACCGTTTCAGCCTTCTGCGTCAAGAAAAAGTATGAAAAATGTCATTGACGCTTTATCCTTAATCACGTTGTATAGGATTTTTTGGTTGTTTTTTTTCCTAATTCTACTGCGTTTCAATACAAAAAAAATCGTCTAAATATGTCAAAAACAACATTCCTATTGGTAACTCGAGAAGCTCTATCCAAGTGTAATAAAAAAAATTTGCTCAATTTTAGAATAGCCGGCATCTAACTTTTAATCCATCTGATTGCCAATTATTATTATCATCAAGATTATCGTGATTACATTCTTTTATTTCACGAATACCAATAACAGCCCATTGATGATGTGAAATTCGAGTATTATCAATAAAATATGTATATGTTGAAGTATGAGGCTATCGATCTAGAAAAAAGAAACTTTTTTCTATGATAATTGTTTTTATTAATAAAAAAAATTACCTTTTGGACACATGAATTTCCATTCATCGATAAGATTTTTGTTTAAATGAGATATATTACTAAATTGAATAATAAATAAATATGAAAGATTTTGATTTTCTGGTTTAATTTCAATATGAAGTGAAATTGATAAATTAAGCTTGTGTTAAATTAATATAATAAAATTTAAATTTAAATTTTAAATTATTTGATAATAATCTTACATTTTGACGAATCATTGGTGACCTCAGACTATTAATTTTACGTGTTATAAGAATTTCAAATGGATTAGTTGTATTTTTAATAGTTACTACATGATCATATTGATCATACAATGTTAATGAAACAACTGACGAAAATGGTAAAGTAATTAACTGAATAGAAAACAAAAAACATACAAGAAAAAAGAACTCATTTTCCTTACTTTAATTATGATGAGTTTATTATTATTCAATTGAGGGAATTGAACATTAGCACCATTTAATTGAAATAGTTGTCTACCTTGAATATTATTTGGTGATACTTTTTCAAGTGGGATGGAAATAAATTGAGTATTTAATTTGAATTTATCACTAATATTAAAATTTCATTGATTTTGGAAATAGATTTTTGTAATTGTAAATCGAATGAATTAATCAAGAAAATTGAAAGGAATTTATTAATAAATGAATAATATTTTTATTCACAGTTTGTTGTCGAAAATAGATATTTTGATTCGTATCATTGTTATGTACATTGATGCCGTCTTCATTGGAAACGTATGCATCAAGAAAACTATTCAATTGAAATATTTCTTTGTTATTATTGCTTATGCCACGTAGTTGATTTGAACGACAGAATTGATTAATGTTTAAATCATTGATATTATCTGAAGATTTTATTTTTATATGACAGATAATCTTTTTTTTTAGTATCCTTCATTATGCTTCTCTATACTAACTTTCCTTTAAACAATAATGTTTTACTATCAATTGTCCAAAATAGATAATTCAGTTCAAATGTTTAGTTTTTCTTTAATCTTGGTTAACTATTTTATCTAACGAAGGAAGTTCTTCAACTAATAAATTGTTTTTAAGTCGAGACTATGTGTATTATGTCGACCTAATGGAGCTATGAATATCCTAAAAAGTGTTTGTATCATTAACTCATCACTTCGGAGATACTGCAGCACGATACGATATTTTTTAAAATGAATGCCGTGGTTTTCTGCTTCGAAACATTGTAAAAAATTAATTTTCAAATTTCGACTGGAACCTTTACGTCAAGGCAAGCCTTAACGAGAGTAGTATCAGTTCTTTTGATATGCTTCTGTGATGAAATAAAAACATAAAATCTACCGATTTCCATAACCGATGTCAAAAACATGCTATTATCATAATTGTATGTTAGGATAGGAACAGCGACAAAATCTGAAACATTCACAAAAAACTTTCCATGTTAAGGCCTGTGTCTATGCGAGGTTTCAAGTAAAAATTCGAAGATCTGTTGTTTTGGTGTTCCTGAGGAAGACTATGACATTCATTTTAAAAATATTATAAAAGTACTACATCTCCACAGCAATGAGCTATGAGCACGATATCAAGAACAAAGAGATTATATTGTATATATCATTCAAAATTTTTGCCACTATTTGTTTGACATCATAAATGATTGAAATAGTCTTTGTCTGTCTCTAGTCGTATTTATTAAATCTACATACTTTTATAATTGAATAACAACAGGTCATCCACAATGGCTGAAACCCAATTTCGAACACTAATAATAATAACTAATCCAATTCAAAAAAATTAAAATTAAACAAAGAAAATCGTACTTACATAGCAGTAAAATAACATTACGGACAAACAACATGATGACTGATTTTAGAAAAACTTCTGTTATGTGATTTTATTTTCTTAACACTATCCGATTGTTAAAGCAATTTTAATAGACATGATTTTAAAAGTATGTTTAAGAAAAAAAGCAAAGAATAGTTAGAAGAAAACCGAAATTTCGTAACATGTATTTTAACAATCATACGTGATAATTTTTTTATAAAAAAAGTTATTTCTATTTTGTCATATAGAGATTTACATCAGAACTTAATTTACGTTTATATATACTTTACTCAAATTTATCATCGAGGAAAAACAATTCTATGTTTTACTATGAAAAACTGAGAAAATACAAATAATGATATATCCTGTAAATTCAGAATCATATGACTAAAATATATATAGTCTAAATGTTTATTTATTTAGTAAAAAGCATTCAAAGAAAATTTTCATTTAGACTTCTGTTTATTATTTTGAACCAATCATAAATATTTAAGTTTTTCCATTTGAATTACTTCCAGCATGTACAGCAGAATAAGTTGGAAGTCGATCAGTATCTGTTGATTGTTGATTCCATGATTGTTGTTGTGGTTGTTGATGAGGAAATTGTTGTGGGTAATGACCAGTGTTCGCCGATTGACCATAAGGAGCACCATATGGTGGTTGGTATGGATTAGATTCATATGGATTAGGTTGAGCCCATACTTGTGACTTATTATTTTTCTTACAACACACTGCAGCAATAGTAATGATAAGACCAATAACTGTAGCAAGACCTAAGACACCTCCAATCACAATACCGATTATATCTGTAGTACTCATGCTTGAACTAGTGGATGACATTTTAAATGTATGCAAATCAATGATGAACAAAAAGTATAATAAAAATTGTAAAAATTTGTTTCCTACCGATGAAAGAATAAGCACGTTTTGAATTGAGTACTTTTTTTATTACAACATTCGAGAGGTTGTATGTGTTTCGGAAAGGATTCATATGTAGAAATGAAAAAGAGAAGACATCAGAGAGAAAAAAATAATAAATTGCTTTGTTACATTCAGGAAAAAACAATAGATCGAAAGAATAGTACAGCAAAAAAAAGAATGAATTTATAGGTTTAATGAAACCTTTCAAAGTTTATATTCAGATAAAGTGTTGACACTATTCAATTTCATTCTGAGAATAATCAAATATGAGAAAAAATGCGTGACAGAATAATGAACATCGATGTAAATTAAAAACTTTAAGAGTTTTGGTTTTCATCTATGAATTTTTCTAGTCATAGAAAAGTATCATTAAAATTCAAAGTAATTTTCAGTTTTTTCTTTGAATATATTTATTATCATGTAGCAAATATTATTTTGATCATGATTGTTTTTTTTCTACATACTCAGATACATAATATATAGTTTTTTTTTTTGTATTGTCAATTCATTGTTACATGTCAACTATTTTCCCATTTAATTCGTCTAGTGTTCAGATATTTTATTGTTATGTATCAAAGAAAGGAACATTTAGAATTCAACAAAAAAAATATATAATAACAATAAAATATGAAATTTCTTCTTCATTAATTTTTTTATTGAAGTCGTATGTGCTTTTTGTTATTAGATTACAATCAACAAGAAAAATCATAATCTATCTACAAGGTTTGTTAAAGTTGATCATACATCATTTATACAACAGCAAGACTACACGCTTGCTTTTTATTTCGTCCGCTAATTAAAAATGTTTGTTTCGCATATTATCGAAATCTGCTATTGGAAGACGAGATTCAGTCATGTTTTTATCTGCATTTGATGAAATCTGCTATTCATCGAACGAATAATGTAAAGAACAACTATAGCTGTCATCGATTAACTAAAATAGATCAGTTTTTGTTTGATTCAAATTACAATAAAATTCTATCTATTTCATTTGTTAATGCTAATATTGAGCTTTTTATCTACATAGTGTAAAGTATTTGATCTTTTAAATATCACGCGGTTGGAAACAGCAAAAACATTGTTGAGCGTGACAAATTACTGTTAAAATTTAAGAATAAAAAATACTTGATATGTTTTTCAAAAAACATCTAATAAGAAACAGGCCATGATTTATTGATTCAATGGAAAAAAAAACAATGAATAGGTAGGAAGGCAGGAACAAAAGTAATTAAGTTTACTATTGCTTCAGAGTCTATCAATATTTAAATTATACAGAAGAATAGACAACGTCAATATTGTCGAGCTAGATTGAGCTAATAATTATTCTTAATTTCTCTCCTCCCACTCCATCTTAGATGGCTACTCTCATTCGAAAAATACCTCGAAAGAAAACGCTTACAAGACGCTTCTATAAAGGCATGATTTTTCCCAAAGGCTTCCTCTAAAACTAAAAGAATGTTTATGTTTTGATAGTAAAAACCGTAGGTTTTAATTTTTTCTACTAAGTTTTTCCAGTAGAAAACGAAATTTTGAGATACTTGACTAGTGTAAAGATTCAAATTTAATAATAAAAAACTTTCAATAAATTGCATATATGTATGTAATGATATTAATGTGATCAATTTACATATGTATACGATCTAATTTAAATAAGTAATTGATTTCGCTAATCAATCTAATAATTAACAATTGCAATAAAATGATACTTATCTAAAGTACATAGGTTTGACCAAAAGTTCTGAGATCATTAAATAAAAATATAAAGATGTGGAGAATATTTTTAATTTTATTTTATCAAATGTTAAGGATAGTTGCCACGATTATTTATATCCAGTTCAATTCTTTCTAACAATTCAGTGAAAGTTTTTTTTGAACTCTTTTTCGAAAAAAATTTTAGCTACCTTGGAAACTGCATGATTTATTCATGTTTCATTTATTTTAAAATTTTGCGAAATTTTCTTAGATCATGTCAGTTGCATTATTGCAGTAGTAGTGACAAAATGTGGCTTTATTTTATGCAGACTAGTCATAAGTCATCTGATGCTAGCTAGCTTATTGAGGATGAATCGTCCAAGACTATTGTTTATGAAGATAGATTTGAACACGAACTTTGTCTGATATATTCTTTAAATCAAATTGTTCTGAGTGTAGATAAAGACAAGATTGTATAGACTACAAGTATTATATAGAAAATTGTCTGAACCCTTTTGTAAATGTAATATGAAAACAAAAGGAGGCATAAGGTGCAAAATGTACAAAAGTGTTCCATGATCATTGTTGACTTCATACTGATCTGATCTTATTAATTATTTGACAGAAGAAGACATTAATACAATATCGCAGCAGTCATATTCGCCGTACCTAATACTATCTAATCTTTGATTAAGTAACTCTATCGAAGGGAGTTTAATTAATTAAATAAATGAAATATTATGTACTCGTGCAATTTCCAAAGTAGTTAAAATTCTTTTCGAAAAAGAGTTCAAAAAAACTTTCACTAAATTGTTAGAAAGAATTAAACTGGATATAAATAATCATGGCAACTGTCGTCAACATTTGATAAAATAAAATAAAAAATATCTTATTATCTTTATATTTTTATTTAACGATCTCAGAACTTTTGGTCAGATCTAAGTACTTCTAACTTATTTTATAACATAAAGAAAAAAATCATTGATATTCACAATTTTTTTAGTATAACTTTTATAATGGAAAATATAAAATGCTTAAATCTTTTCAGTTGAATTTTCATTTCTGCTTATTTCTTCATAGGAAGGTGGTGGTTCTTCTACTATCTTTTGTGAATCTGATTTTGGCTCTTGAGTAACTTCATGTGGATAATTTGCATATGGATACATCGGCATCGATTGACCATAGGATTGTGGTCTTGGATATGGATGAGTCCAAACTTGTACTTGACGTTTCTTTTTGCAAAAAGTAAAATAAATAATTCCAATAATGAATATCAAAATGGCAAGTCCTAATATAGATCCTAGTACAATACCAATAATTTTGCCAATATTCGCAAGATGATTAAACGTAGAACTAGTCTGAGAAGCACATACCGTACTACTCGAACATGTTGATGACGACATGATGTTTTTGCAGCCAATATCAAAACAAACACAAGAATCAATATGAAGAATATTTGATTAAACTTGATGAAAGTGACGCAGATATATTGACATTTACATTATTGAAACCTAAACTATTATAGATGATTACATTAGAAAAGAAATCAAAAAGAAAAAAGAAAGAATAGAAAAAAAAAATAAGAAGAAAAAAAAATGATTACAATCTAAGAATTACTATTGTTATTGATTGGAAATAAGATCGAAATATATAATAATCAATGTACTTTTATTTAAAATTTCACAACGCGCATATCTAGAAGATTAAGATTGTCAATTCTATATACAGTTACTGCAAAAATTATTCGTACGATTTCTTTTTTGATCACAGATAGTTGAAATACGAACTTTATAAGATTTGGTAGATGTCAAAAGAAACATTATATCGCCTAGTATTTACTCTATTAAAACTAGTGTTGTTGACTGAGTCTATATTAAATGATAGGTCAATCTTTCAAAATTATGCATGTTTTATACATTAAAAAAATATTCGTACGATTTCGAGCATGGTGACATTTTCCTTTCGTCAAGGTTTCAAAAAATTTAAATATAAAGTCATTAGATGCAGAAAAGAACAAGTTATACATTCATACTATTTTCTTCATAATTCAATTCTATTGAATAAGCTTTATTTTGAGACATCCTTATCAGGGAATCGAAAAATGGATTTTTTTTTCCAAAATATAATTTCCAATTTATGTAATAATGAGAATAACAGATATTTTTGTCTTTTTTTCTGCTTGAAAATTATGATAAATATATTTTTGAGTCTACTTCGATGACAAGACTTTATTTTCAAACAGCAAACAAAAAGGTTACATTGTTCTATAAAAATAAAATAGTATTTTATGATGGACAACGATCATCACTATTGCGTTGATCGTCCTCTCTGTTTGATAAATTCTTGTAATCGACTTCTTACTGATAAGGGAACCTCTTCAACTGTTTTCTTCTTGATTTCAATGATGTTTTACCTATAGATACGACATAGTATTCTAATAAAAAATCTAGAAGGATTTTGGATCCTATTGATATTTGATTAAGCTAACGAACTTTTAAAATGTGTATTTTCTAGTAGCCTCTGTAGGATGTCAGGTTTTCGAAAAACTTATATTGCTGAAGTTTGATATGAAACTTTGTGTATAAAGAGAACTCAGCTAGACTACGTTCCATTAAAAGCTCACAAGCTTGGAACAAAGTCTCTTCGAGATATGAAGCTTTCCAAGAATGTATATTGCATATGCTATGCATGAAAAACAGACTCTATATCTTGAAATTATCATATGACGAAGTGATTTTGTTTCAAACTTCTGAATTTTTTTATGAAACCCAGTTTGGTTGAACTCTCTTTATGCCCAAAGTTTCATATTGAAATTTGAAAATATACATTTTAAAAGTTCGATGGCTTAGTCATACATCAGTATGAATCCAAATTCTTTTTGTGGTTTTTATTAGAACACTGTGTAGTATCTATATCTATAGACAAAAAAGAAATTATTGAAATCGACAGAGGACAGCTAGAGAGGCTTCTTCATCAGTAAGAAATCGAGTGTGTCGCATAGTATCCGAAACCCATATCAGATGATTTCAAGCATCGGATTTTAAAATATCAGTAATTAAAACATGTTGACTCATACTAATCTTATATAGAAAATAATCATCTATCTATTCATGTACTTTGTAATTATAACCTATTGAGTAACTAATATAGATTGATTGAATAGTTATGTTGAGTGTTATTGTAAGATAGAATTCGGCCGTTCCGGTTACTACAACGAAAAAAAAACGGTTCTGAATCGCTTCTCAAAAATATCAAGTTGAATCGAAATCGGTCAACCAATAGATAAATATGTATATTTTAAGTTTATTTTGACAAATTTTCACTATTGAATTGTTCAAATTAAAGATTTTACATATTTCAGAAGCTAAAAAAAACAATAGTGCACACATATACTGAAATCTTTAATTTCAAGAATGAAAAAAATAAAGATATCTTGACATAAATTTAATATTTTCTCTATCTATTTGATGATTTAACGGTTCCAGTTTTTTGGAACCGCCGAACTCTATCACGAGAGTATCAATTAACTGAAAGAAAAAAAACACAAAGAATACAGACATACTGATAATTTGATTTTTATTCATGATTGATTAGTTGACTTTCTTCCATCGTTTTGTGTTCTATAAATACATACGAAATTTATATGTCAACGTCCAACCTAAGATTTTAGTTTTAGCTATATAGTTCATACTTGAGGCGAGCAAAAAGTTGAGATCAAAATTCATTTTTTACTCTGAAGTCATTATTTGATTTAGAACTTTCTATTAATCAGCTACAATAAATTGATGGCATTTACTTTTATAATACTTGGATGAACAGTTCAAGTTAGATTAAATAAGTTTTCAGTAGTTTTATGTTTAAATAGAAACTCAACAGAAAATCTTTTTATTTTCACAAATAATAAAATCAAACTTTCATGATCAATCAGCTATGTACAAAAGAAGTATCATCTTTGCATCGTAGTTCATCAAAAAAAAAAGAAAAACTCGAAACCAAACATCGATTTCAAATTTTTGCTCGACCTAAGTTTTAATTAGTTCAAAATCGGATCTTGGTTTGAACGCTGACATATATAACACCATTTCTATTTTTACAAAGAAAATTTAAGTATAAACATCAATGTTCGTCTGTTGCAATGAAACTTTCATAAACGAAGTTTTGATATCATATATAAGCGAAAATCTTCCAGATCTTTGCCATTCGTGATCAGCTTCATGTCCAAACTTCGGTATAAAAATCTCGAGTAAGATACAAAACGAAAAGTGTGACTAAATTTTAAAAAAGGAAGAATTCCATAAAATATATAATAGATCTTAGTAAAATAAATAGATTAATATTCAAATTAAATAAATAATCCATGAATTGAAGCGTTTTTAAGCGTCTTTTACTCAAACAATATTCTCATTTTTATTTGCTTCTTGAATCGAAGGCGATAATTCACTAAAAGACTTTTGTGGATTTACTTGTGATTGTTGTTGATCTGATATTTCTTGATTTTGTAACGTCCGATTTCGTCGAAATCGAAACTGTAATCTGTTTCGAAAACATCCTTTACAATGTAGCATATATATAATTATGACCATCGATATAACAAAAATTAAACATGCTATAGAACCAAGTACAAGACCTACAACAGTATTAGTACCGCTCGCTGGATTGGACAATAATCTCTTACAATTTGTACCACTTTTATTACAGGATACTGACATGTTGAGTTCGAAATTGTCAAATAATAGAAACAAGAAACAATGAATATTTAAAAAATATGTTCCTTTTTATATGATGAAATGATCATGATTCGACTAAATAAATTTACTTTATTGTATCGTATGCTTTATGTGTGTGTTGGAAATAAATTAAGAATAAAGAAGAAATGGAAGAAAAAAAAGGAAAAAAAAGCACTTTGAAATAAATTTAAAAATAACGATAAGAATGTGACAATGAGATAGTCAGTTATATCTAATGTAATAGTGTCAAACAAGAAAGTTGAATTCAATAATTAAATATCTAAAATTCAGATATTCAGACATTTACTGAAGCATATACATAAAGCAACTTTCTTGTTGATTGCACCACGAAAATGTACTCACGAAACAATTTCTAAAAAGATCGTCAATAATTGATTTCAAGTTTTAGGTTTGGCTCTAATGAGAAAATTAGAAGAGACTAAGAGAGAAATAATTGATTTTTAAATGGTACTAAAAGAATTTATTATCTGAAGAGCAGTATTTTATGTAGCATGAAGGCTGAGGAAGTGACGTATCTCCAAAAATCAAAGCAACGTTTTCGAAGTCTTGAATCATTCCTCCAAAAGTTAAAATTTGGATAACACATTGAAAGTAGATACTCTGGAGTTTTTTCATTATAAATTTCAAAGAGTTTTATTGCCAAAGTAATTACACTGAAACTTACTTGATTCTACTTTCGAAATCAAATGAATTCCTGCTTTACATGGAAAAAAGTGTTTGACACATTATATCAGAGATTGTTATTACATAAATCAATTCTATTATTCTTTATAGTGTAAGTTGATTTAGATACCATTCGGTTCGATTTTGCTAAGTAAGATCATAATTGATTGATTAATTGTTAGTTATTAGTAAATTTCTTCCTAGTTACTGTAAAATATTCATTTTCTTTTTGATGATGCTTTGGAAGTCGCGCCTACCTTCTTCGAACTTTATTGATAGAAAATAAAAAGTACTAGAACACATACACGTTTTTTTCTTTTTTCTTTTTTATTGTTATTGTAGTTTTATAGTGGATCGGAAGAAAATGACAAGAAAATGTCACTTCTGCCAACTATCACTGCCTTGACGATGACTCACTACCAGAATTAGAATAACAACAGAAAAGAAAAACGAAAAAGAAAACTGTGTGTGTTCTAGTACTTTCATTTTTTATCATTAAAGTTCGCAGAAGACAGCTTCGACTATCAAAATGTCACAAAAGAGAATTTACAGCAACGAGAAAGAGATTTACTAATAAATAACAACGAATCAAGCGATTTAGATGCAGTATCAATTAATTGAAATTAGATTCTTTTATTCATCATTATATTTTGATGGTATATGAAACATTTTTTGTATTGTTTGCTTACAAAAAGTTTTATGCCCATTTGTTATTACTAGTCATAGTTTTACTTAGATCGATATATTTGAATCATCAAATAAGGTTGTTTAGTAATGTTCTAAATTACATTAGAGAATAATTATTATTCAATTTTGGGTGAATTGTCGTTTCATCAAAACCTTAATTGATGTTCCTGTTCGGTCGAAAATAAAACTATGTCGGTTCCCATTTTGTCGAAAAATAAAATTGCAATGAAAAGAAAGAGAGTAGGTTATTCTATTTAATTGAATTTTTTTAAAATACACTAATCAAAGATAATGTTTGATAATTCTACATGATTTTTTCAGAAAAGTTTATTAGAGAACAGTATTAGATGCGCAAAAAGAAGATATCAGAAGAGAAAGAATGTAAAACAAAAAACAAATAACAATATTTTTTTATATCAATTAATCTCACAGCTTTTTCAAGATATTCTTCTAACGTTTATGTTTATTGGTAAGGGTGTGTAAATGTTGGAGTAGATGTGGGGTTGAGTGAACTGAATGTTCACACTCAAACATTCACCCTTGCCCACATCATCATCCTTAATCAGTTTCTTTAGAAAAAATATTGTTTAGGATAATCAAAACAACTAAACCAGTTGATTTGTTCCTCCTTTTTTCATTATAAATTTAATTTTTCGACGAAACAGGAAAATCAATTAAGGTTTCGACGAAACGGGAATTCACCAAAAAATATATCGTCAGATTCGTCTGAGATGAATTGTGTTTTTTTTTTCGTCACATTGGTTCATTTTAAGATACCAATATATATGTTGTAGGCAAAATTGGAATTCGGGCAAATTCGGAATTTGCCTAGGCAAAATTGGAATTCTAATTCTGCCCGGGCAAAATTAGAATCTGACTAGAGATAAATTCTTAAAAAGAAAATAGTCAAAATTGTTCAACAAAATGTCATTCAAAACGAGGTTGTTGTAAAAATATGAGTGAATAGAGTAAAGTATTTGGACTTGTAATTGTAAAATGTTAAAAAAAAAAGATTTTGTTGAATAAAATACAGTCATAACACTAAGATTTTGATTATTTTCTTTTTAAGAATTTATCTCTAGTCAGATTCTAATTTTGCCTACAACATATATATATATTGCGAAAGAATGTCATAATAATCGATTTTATTTTGAATAGAAATTCGTGGAATGAAATTTTAATTAATAAATTAAATGATGATAATCAATTTTTATCTTATTAAGTTCGTTTTAATAGATATTAAGTCGAGTACTTGTATATATACAATACAAATTAAGTTTNTTTATCCGTACAATAGTTGAGAAAAGCTACTAGCTTATCGTGTGAGTTGGTAGCTTTTCTCTACTGTTGTACGGATAAAACATCATGTTGTTCGGGTCAATCCAGGGTTATCTAGGATCCTCTCTTATATGACCCGAACAATAGTATGTTCTATCCTTACAATAGGAGTGTATCAAAATGGGGTATCACATGACTGGCCATGCCCATATATATATATTGAATATTGAAAGTTGAACAGACAAAAAATATATGTTTGAAAATAACATCTAAATTGTTAAGGAAAATTTATTATACTCAATTGACACCCTTATTAATAGGGCATGCTGTTAGTAAATATATTAAAATAATAGTATCAAGTTTGTTTTTCACGTTGTTTTCATTATATGTTTATCTTAGTCATGCAAAAAAAACCTACATTTAAACCTATATTACCATTAAACTTCATAAGAACACAATAATAAAAACGACTTACAATGAGTGCAAGATTGATATTTCTTTCATATTGACTAAAAAAAGAGTGAAAAATAAATCAGATAAATATATTTTAGCATGTTTTCTAATGCGACACTTTCTCAATGCTGATATCAATCGAGTATAGTCAATTTTGAATGATAGTTCAGATGTTACAAATATACAATTTTTATGTCCGTCCAACTTTAAATATTCGAAATATACAAAAAATTAACTCAAAATCTATGAAACAATCTTAATATATGTTACTTTCACAGAACATGCAGCAGTTCGATAAGTTTCTCAAAGGTACAATAATGTGTATTGTCTATCATTGCATGTAACTATCTGTTCGATTTTTGAATTGATTCATCCTTCCAGAGATACAATTAGTTCATAAATCAAATACATTAAAGTTCTTGAACGAAATTTGATAAAGTGTACATTTTTATGATTATATTTTCGTTAAAACCCGAACGCGATTTTACAAGTATCTTCTTATTTTTTCCAGATTATTTCTTTGTAAACAATAGCATGTCTTATAAAATATAAAATGCTCAATGTTTTCTAATAGAAGAATTAAAACACGATGGAATCGTTTATGCTATATTATTATTCTTTTTATATTCTTTCTATCTGTTTCAAATATTGCTTACAAGTCATCAATATCTCATTCAATCCAATCAAATAATTGTTCTCTATTTTGTCCTTATTCAAGTACATTAAGCAATGATACACTTCAATTCGATTCATCACATTTTATTCGACATTTTCCAGACTTTGTTTGTCCACAAAATTTTCGAAATCTTGCTGATTGGATATATGGGTGGCCTGATCAATTTAATGAACATTTAGAAAGAACAACTGATCAAGGAACACAAATTGCTCCTTGTCTACCATCTGGTAGTATTATTTATGTTCGTATATGGGCAATAGATGAATTCTTCGATAAGATTTATCCTTATTTGCAAAATAAATTTGTATTAGTTACTGGTGAAGGTGATTTATCATCACCAATTCACATGGAAATTCTCGAAAATCCTGATTCAAAAATAATTCATTGGTTTGGACAAAATGGACAATATGATGTTTCAAGAAGTAAAAAATTTACTCATATACCAATCGGTAATTTATTATTATGTGTCTTTGGTTTTAGTTAAGATAAATAGATTAGTCATAGAAAGATTGTTGATTGACTCGAAATTGAAAAATACTATGTGTACTACAACCATTTATCCACCTTCATAAAATGTACGAGAGTAAATAAACAGATTTACTATTACAACTATAGGCATATTCTATTTGTGATCATTCATAAAGGTCTAGACACCACTTACTAGGAATATTTTCCTTTATTTCATACAACTTTTTTTGAAGAGCATTTTTTATTAGGAAATAAATCAGTTGTATATGAATATGTTGCTGCGATAATTGAAGATTATGAGTAGTTATATTAAATTGTTGAGTGATATTGCTATTGAACTTCTTTTTCTGTTTTTGACTCAATAAAACATAATGTATTTAGAAAATAAAAGCTTTCCAATACGTTATATTTATATTTGTTGTATAAGAAATATGTGTTTTGTTTCTTCTATATCAATTTATTAATTTGATGAAATGTTGTTTAGTAATAAAACAAGCAGTATATTTGAACAAATAGGCTTGTCTGGAAGTTTTTTTTTTTGTAATGAACGTCCAGAAGAGTGTTCATGAAATTGCACAGAAGGAAAAGAAGAAGGATAAAAAATTTCGAGTTTCACTCACACGTCCTTTTTGGTTGATTCCTTTTTAGTGATTTTGTTTTTCAGGTATTAATTGCTTTGAAATGGCTGATGCTATTCAAAGTGTATATGTTCAACAACGTAATCATACATTACCTTCAATATTTAATGAGTTAGATGAACCAGCTAAATATATTCAACCACAAGATGTATCACATCGTGCACTAAGTACAGGGATAAAAACAGAAGACTTACTATTAATTAATTTTGATAAAGGTACTGATGGAAGTGGCCTTCGTTTACACATATGGAAACAACTATGTACGAGTAAAAATCGACATAAGTATCCATTTGTGAAATGTATAGGCAAACCAGGTGGTGTTCAAATAGAAGAGTTACCAAAACTTTACGAACGTAATCGTCAATATCCATTTTGGTTATCACCACGTGGTAATGGTATTGATTGTCATCGAACATGGGAAGCCCTTTATCTTGATATAATACCAATTGTATGGAATACTTCTTTAAATGTTCTCTATGAAAATTTACCTGTTGTAATTATAAATAATTATGAAGAATTAAATGAAAAATTTTTATATGAAAAATTAAAAGAAATATCAGAAAAGAAATTATCACAAAAAAATGTATATCAATATGAAAAATTACGTAATGCTTATTGGCGTCGTTTAATATTAAAGAAATCAAGACATCGAAATAAGAAGAGTACCTATTTACGTAGGAAACGATGTTGGAGTGCCAAAAGTACAGTTAATTGGAGACAATTTTTACCTTATTAATAAAAATAAAAATAATTAGAAAAATAAATATTTGAGTCGAACTCATTTTCAGTTTTTTATGTAAGTTGAAATAGGCTAAATAAACTCTATCCCTACAATATTTTAGTTGTATCTTCTTCAGAATGTCGATCACTAGATACGATTAATTGAGACAATTTAATATATTTTTATGTTCAGTTCTATTTGAACTTTTTAGACTTCATGCTCTAGATATGAATTTCCTTTTAGAATTAGACAAAATATTTATGCCTATTCTTTATTTCAAATCCTTTATAGTTTTATGTTTGAAGTACCAATGTTGAGATAGGTAGATACCGTCTTTTATCTATTCAGAGAGATATAGGTTGATTTTAACTCGTTAAAATCGTCGCTCATTTTTCGAGAAAAACGACAGTTTTTCACAGCAAGTGTAGTCGTTACAATTTTCGAACTCGCATATTCTCAGAAAAACAAATAATTTCGTTCGTGCGCGGGAAAATGTATTTCTTTTTTGGTTTTTATCTTCGAGAGTAAACAGTTAGTTGGTATGGGTTTCGTGTTTAATCGCTATAGGAATGCACCTATTCCAAGAATAAAAATTAGTTGTTATAGAAGTATTAATTTAGCACATATTTATCTAAATTAATGACTCGATTTCAGTTTTTTCAACTTCAATTTCAAACGAAAAACCAGAATAGGAGTTCGTGTATCGGTCAACGCTATACCTTCGTATATATGACGGATAGTCCGAAGAAAGGTAATGAATGATACTATAGATGAGAATGGATAATAGATAAATTAACAATTTATGTATTAACGTATTCGATTGTATGATACATTGTGGTGCTTTAAACTTAAAGTTCAAGTTTTTGAAAAAAAAGTGTCTACCATCAACTCATGAAATTGCATATAGTAGAACGAATATATGATTTGCATAAGCTTGACAATAATTGTAGGTTTTATTTTCAAATTATTTCTCTACATTTTAATTTGTTGCCAGCATGACACTATATTTATCTTTGAATAAAACAATAATTATGAAGGTGGCATATGCAACTATTTTTTAAAGAAACAGCTGTTACACAAATTTTAATAACATGTTTTTATTGCATAAACAGACTGCAAATAGTTTATTTCGGCTTTCTTTTAAGCATTTGTATTTACAAAATTAAATATAATTGCGCATTTTTTTAATATGATATGCAAAAATCTTCGGAAAAATGTCGAGATTTATTTCTGAAAAATGCCACAGCAGATCGATCTCGGCTTGTTTTGTTTGACAGACAAAAATTTCGGGATTATTCGCATAAAGCAAGAAACTATTTATTTATTTCAGTTATGCTGCTTCAAAACATTTTTTTCTATTAGTCTGAAAACACTGTTGCAACATCCGAAAACAATTATTTGGTAATTTGCGTCACCTGAATGCCTACGAGCTGTGACCAAAACATACGGTTAGATAGAGCTAAATAGACTGTATCTAAGGCGTTAACTTTGAAACATTTTCATTCACTTCTCAGAACTTTGGTGGATTCGCAAGTGTTTTTTTCTATTTCACAATTATTATTAAACAGATATTCCAGCGGAGAAAACATTACAAAAGAGAATTTTCTAATCGACAATGTAAGTGAAGCAAATTACCACAGATGAAATGAAAAAGATTAAGAAGTTCTATTCATCGCTAGTTTAATTCAAACTTTGACATAGGTGAGGTCACGAAGTGAGTGACTGAAAATATCAAAATATCAAGTTACAAAGATGGCTTATGGGAACTTCGGTCCACGGAACTTTCGATGCGGATTTTTGGCCCGTTGCTGAATTGACCTCATTGACTTCTACAACAAAAGAAAATTTGTTAGGTGCTAGATATCGTAGTATTGAGCAGAACGTTATAGTGGGTACTTGTGGGTGTCAATGAAGAGAAAGCTCAAATCCAGACACTCATACCCTATACTCCCACCACCCACACCCATTGCGCCATCCTACCCAGCGCGACGATATCTAACAACTAACTAAAAAAAATTATGTTGAGAAATGAGTCTCGACATTTTTCGAAAGACATTTGCATCGCATATCATCATAAGTACATTCATATATGCATGATTGTTCTTTTTCCCTATAAGATAATAATTGAGTACAAAAACAACGAATAGTCTTCTTGACATATGGACATCTATGATAATAGTTCTTCGATAGAAAAAGTAAAAGATGAAATCATAAAAAAAACGAGAATTATTATAGAATCACATTTCGTTTTTTTTGATTTAACACATAATATGGTTTGCTCATTCTCAATGCACAATAAAAATAACCATCCCATTCAAAAAAGTGCAACAAAAAAAAGAACAAACAACAAGAATCACAAGTAATAAACATTGTCAACAAATCCTAAACCATTTTAAAAGTAAAACAAAAAAAAAACTATTACAGTCTAATCTAGTTTTTTAGTTTTGTTAAAAAATCAGAAGACTATTTGTTTTGTTTTTTCAATTTGATGCCTTAACTTCTGAAGTAACACCAAGTAATGTAGTCAATGGAGGAATTGTTGATGATGATCCATTCGATGTTGGCGTTTTATATTTTGGAAAAGCCAAACCAAAACGTGTTTCAATGCCTAAGAAAATCAAACAAAACAAAATCTCTTTCTTCTTCAACAATATAAACATAAATCTTTAACCTTCAAATGTTGCTTGAGCTAAATGAAATCCACCAACATGATCAGAATTCCTGGAAAATAAAATTGATGCACGTGATTTAGGTGAATATTGTTCTTGATCAACATGTTTTGAACCTTCTAATTTTCTACCTTGAAAATCAAAATTTAACGCACGTTGAAGAAGTTCATATGTAAGTAATGTAAAACCAAATTGTGGTGATGAACGCAACATACGTGCACCAGCGCCTAAATTTTATTTAAATGTAAAATAAATAAAAATCATTTTATTTCAATTCTATAATTACCTTTCCAAAAAGCTGTCCATCCTTCTTCAATATAAATTTTTTTAAATGCATCCATTAAACCATTATATTTAGTTTGTCCTTTTCGTGCTTGAACTTGTAAACGTGTTTTAACAACATCAGCTGGTGTACATAGACCAGCAGCTGGTATACCAGCAAGAAGACCAGAAAAAAATAAACTTTTTGGATCATTATAACCATGTTCATCAGCAAAACGTTTTTTTGTATGAGCATATGCAGGAAAATAAATAGCTGAAAATGGAATATCACGAAGAAAACATGCACGAGCACCTTTATATAAACCACGAAAACCAAGTTCACGTACAACTTCGCTTGCCGCCGGACGATGAACAGATTGAATTTCACCAGCAACTTGTAAACGAATCTTTACTATTTCTAATGGATTAGTAAATGTTACCTTAATTTAAAAATGTTAATGGAAAAACAAAACAAAACAAAAACCAAAAAGAACGAAAGAATAAAAGAAGCTTTAGTACTTGAGATGCACCAGCACATCCACCAGCAAGAATTTCACCCCAAAGTGGAATAGTGCCATCGACTAATGTTAGTCTATCACGAATAAAATCATTCACAGTCAATTTAATAGCTTTTTCAGGTGCAACACCAACTAGTTGAGGAACTAAACCTAAAATGATTTATTATTGTTTGAATTTATTTTTGAATTTCCTTCTTCTCTTTTTACCTCGATATAAACCAAATATGCCTTCATGACGAATAACTTTTTTAAAACAATCAAAAGAATTTCGATATAGACGTTCACCAACAATACTTGTCGTTCGTTGATTTTGCATACGAGTTTTTACTTGAGAAATAAAAAATCATTCGATTTATATTTTAATATTAACAACTACTCATACCAAGATCAATAGGATAAACAGCCGTAGCACCAACAGCACCGGCAATACTGCCTAAATAAAATTATTATCATTTATTAATAAATTATATTTTGAATATTTCTCTTGTTTTTTTTTACCAAGTGTAAATCGATAACCACTTTCAAGAATTTTCATAAAAATACTTTGATGTTCAATTTTATAATGTTCATCAACAATTTCTGATCGTAATCGATATGGTAATAAATGTTCATTAGCAGATATTATATCAATATCATTTAATTCAATATATTCAGTTTTAACATCTTTACCTACAGTATTTTGATGTAATAAATCTGTTATAGCAAATAATATATCTATTTGCAATGGTGTTGTACGTGGAAAATGTTGTGCTTCAGTTAAAAATTCTTCTTTTGTTATCTGCGGTGATTTATATGTGTGTGTTCTTTTTTCACATACAGCTAAATAAATTTTTCTCATTGATTCAATATTTGATAACAATTGTAAAAATGCTGTAAAATATGGATATGATACTCTATGTGGAAATGTTGTTGATGATGATAATTTAACAATATCATGTAAATGTGTTGAAATAAAATCTGATAATTGATATTGTCGTAATTCTTTAAGTATAATTTCAAAACTTTTTAATGATATAAAACCATCATTTGTTTTATCAAGTTTACGAAATGTTTGAATTGTTTGTTCATCAATAAAATCTAAAACAAGCTTATTTTTTTTTATTACAAATAAAAATATGATTTATGTTGTTTTTTTTTTTTTACCAAGTAATATTTGTGTAAATTCTTTATATGTTATCTGTCGTTGTCGTTTAACACCAAAATGCATTCGAACAAAATCCGAATCAAAATTAAATGGAAACTCTTTAAATTGTTTTGTTGCTGATATTATATATTGAAAATCATCAAATGTTATAAAACCTTGTCCACGACGATCAAATAATTGAAAAGCAAGACGATATAATGAATCTGATGCTATTAATAATGATTCGAAATTAGTAAATTCATCTATTGTTATTCCTATTAAAGAAGAAAAAAAAACAAAATTATTTCATCGGTTTTTTTTATTAAGAACGAACTTTGATTTTTATTTATATCAACCAATGATGCAAGTATATCAAGTGTTGTTGGATCAATATTGTCACCTTTTAAATAACCTAAATAATCTTGTAAAAATTCGTTTGGTGTC